TGTGCATGCCCAAAATTCTGAGAGGAGAACAGAGGAGAAGGGACTATGGCATGACTTTCCCGACAGGTGGGTGATTTCACATTTTCCTTCTCTCTCTGTCTCTGTCTCTGTCTCTAGTCAGCACACACATCCTATTGCAAAGTGAAAAGAAAATAGACACATGTTCATTCATGCCCAGGATCCTGCTGGGATGGAAAAAAAAATTGCAGTTTGACCAGGCTCCAATCAGGGTGTTTTTTCTCTCTGGCCTGTACTTTCTAGCAATTAAATAAAAGGGGAGGAGGGTAAATGGAGTTAAGGTAATTTCCTGTGTGATATTTGACTTTTCCAGCCTATCACATTTATAAAATGAAACCAGGAATCTTGATACATGTTCAAAAGGCCAAACACAGTGACATCTCAGCTACGCAGCTCTAAGTGTTTCAATTCTTTCTTCTCCTTACTAGGTGAGGCGGCAACAGCGGATGACGGTAAGCCTCGAGCTTCGGAAGGCCAAGAAAGATGAGCAGGCCTTAAAGAGAAGGAATATTACCAATATCTTTCCGGACCCAACTTCTGAAAAACCAGACAGAGGGGTATGTTGGAATATAGCATTAAGAGCAGTTGTGGGCAAAATACATCCTTAGCAAGTTTCTCCAACTTGAAAATGTTTAATAGATTCCGAACTTCCAAACTCTGAGTTAGAATCTTTAAAGAAAGGAACAGAGAGATCATGATTACAACACTGCATTCAACAAAAGACTAAAGATCATTACTCTTGTGGCTGTGAGTCTGTGGAATCCCTGTTCTAATGGTGGGAGAGGGGTGAACTTTTAATAAATTCAATTGCTACCACTAAGCCTGGGAACTTAAGAAAAAGTTTATAAAGGTTATTTCTCAGTAGAAGTATCTAGTTCTTGGACATATAAAGTGTTTCCTAAGACTTGAATACTCTTTTCTATTCCCATCTACCTCAGCCTCACTAAATAGAAATTCTGAATTGACTTCAGGGTCAATCTTGTTTTTGTGAGTTCTGAATGCCCTGACCAGGAAGTTTTCCTCCTTAGAACTTCAATGATGTTGTATCTACGTGTCTTCTGTAGGACACCACTGTCTAAGTCCTACCCATGTGCATCATAAGCTTGGAACTCTCAAAGGGCAGAGATTGGTTCAATTTTGTCAGATGGATTCAATGATAGATTGCTATCCATCAAATGAAATGAGTACAACTGTTCTGTGAATTGCCAAAGGGATTCGAACCATTTCTCTAGTTAGCTACATTTGTCTAAAGCGGCCCCTAAGATTCCCTCTACCTGAGGAAGGTATGAAACAGAACAATGAAGAAAAAAATTGTTTTCCTTTTTATCCCATACTAGCATGTTCTTTTTTTTTTAAAAGTTAAGATGTAATTCACAATAACTCAAAATTTACCCTTTTAAAGTGTATAATCAGTGGTTTCTAGTAATCTACAAGGTTGTGCAATCCTCACAACTATCTAATTCAGAAACACATTTACTACTTCAAATAAAAACCTCTTACCCATTTAGCAATCACTCCCATTCCTCACTGCCCACATCCTCTTGCAAACACTAATCTATGCATCTCTGTGTGGATTTACCTATTCTGGACATTTCAAAAGTGTAATTACAGTATGTCTAGGTGTGGGTCTCTTGGGATATATCCCATTTGGAGTTCTTTGGGCTTCTCAGATTTATAGATTAATTTTTTATTCAGATTTGGGAACTTTTTGGCCATTATTTCTTCAAACGTGCTTTCTGTTCCTGTCTTTCCTTTCCTTCACACTGTAAATATATTGGTATACTTAATGGTGTTCCATTGATCTTTGAAGATAGGTTGATTTCCATCATTAGTCCTTTTTTTCTTTCCTTCTTAGGTTATTGGAAATTATATAGTCTATCTTCAACTTCATTAATTCTTTATTCTGTTTAAATCTGTACAATCTATTTAGTGACTTTTTCATTTTAGTTTTTCTCCAATTATAGAATTTCTACTTGTCTCTTTTAACAATTTCTCTCTTATTGATAATCTGTTTGATGTGACATTATTCTTATATTTTACTTTAGTTTTTTAGACATGATTTTCTTTAATTCTTTGAATATATTTAGTCTTTGTCTAGTAAGTCAAACATCTGGTTTCCTCAGGGATTGCTTTGCCCCCCCCCATATATATAGATATATATGTGTGTGTGTATATATATACATATTGCTTTGATATATATATATATCCTACTTATTTCTTTGCATGTCTCATAATTTCTTTGTTGAAAACTAGTCATTAAAATAATATCAAGTGGGTATTTGGATTGATGAGGGTCTTTGGTGATTCAATAAAATGTTGGGAGGAAAATGGTATAGAAATAGATAACAGAGACAGTGTGGGAGGAGAACAGGAGGTGGCAGAGGGTAAGAGAGGGAACCAAGGATGGGGGGAAAAAGCAAAACATACAGAAAACAAGAAATCGAAGATCATTTGCTAATAATAACATGTTTGTTGATGTGCTTGATTGAGACAATATACAGTGTACTCTGGATGGAAAATCTCATTTTGTATGCTGTAATGATGTATGGTGAATGAATGCAAATAAATTGGAAAAAAAAATAATATCAAGTGGCATCTGTGGATATCAGATTCCACATTTCCCAGGTTTTGTTGCAGTTTCTGGGTAGTCATGTATTTTTAGTGATTTCTGAACATTTCCTCACGTGATTTTTCCCCCTCCCCTCTCCTTTATTGCATAGGAAAATGCTATCTCTGTGATTTCTGTAGAGTATGTTTTCTTTGTCATTGTGGTCAATGGAGTCTCTACTCAGTTTGCTTAGTGGTCAGCTAATGTTTGGACAGAGATTTACTTTAATACTTGGAACCAAAAAGGACAAAATACATAATTTTTGCCAAAAAGTTCTGTGTGTATTATGGGCATATCTTCAACACTCAACCAGGCAGTTGACAACTCTGTCTTAAACCTTCACTTTCTGTTTGCATAGATCCTCAGGGTCAATCTAATATAAGAGCTCAGGTTTTTCTCAGGTTCTTTTGTGAGCATGTGCACAGACTTATACATGCATTTGACCTTCTAGAGTCTCAAGAATATGTCAGAGATTTCAAAGTCCCAAGGGGCATCTCACTCCCCAGCTTTTTCTTTTAAGTTTTTTGGCTAGGCTATTGTTTTTTTCCAACAGTATTCAACCTCTCAGATAGCTGTGAAATTAAACAACTTATTCCAATTGGTCTTAACAAACATTCCCAGGGAAAAGATTCACAATAAGTAAGTGCCAAGTCAAATAAAATAAAGATTCTTACAAGTGAGGTCTTGTAAACTACCACACCGGTGGAATGATACTCTGAAAATGAGGCTTTAAAAGAGCTTCTACCCCTTCTGCCCATTCTTGGAGCTGCTAGGCTGTTGGTTTTTCACAGTGAGGGTAGACTATTGGTTTTCTAGACCATTGTGAGCTGGGGGTGAATAGGAATAAGGCAAGCCAAAATGCCACAAAGATTGGTATTCTTACTGAGAGTCATCTGGTTTTCTTGTGTAAATACTTCCTGGTTTTAATAAAAACAAGTTGCTGAAAGCCTTTGGTTGGTTTCTACAGTTCTAAAAATGTTCATTCTGACCATTTTTCTGTTTTCTCAAAATTTCAGAACTTTTAGATGTTTATCCTTTGCCATTTTTCCTACCTACTAGCATGTTCTTATTGTATGGGGATATAAAGGTGTTGGGGATCCAAAGGATGATAGAATTGACTCCTCCCTAAGCATGGGAAGTGTCCCACAGATCTGAGAGACTTATGAACCACCAATTTTTTTCCCTCCCCTAATATAGATTGGCATGTAGGATGGGGAAACCTATTCAAGTCAACCTATTTTAGTGAGATGGATGGCTCGCCTGGGTGATGTTTATGGTTCCTCTTGGCAAAGACTGACCTAAATGTGTCTCTCCTTGCAGGTCAGCCTTACTCTGGATGAGATAGTAAAAGGTGTGAATGATTCTGATCCAGCCCTATGTTTCCAGGCTACCCAGGCAGCCAGGTATCACCAAACAGAATTCTGCTGTTGGCAGGTTCATAGCAAGAAATGAGCTCCAGTGGCCTATTTGGTTTCTTGGCATTGGTGAAATGCCCATAAAATACAAGGAAAAGCTAGTTCATCCAAAAGTGAAACTAAATTGCTATTCTACACTGTCCTTGAGGGTAACTTTTAAAATGCAATGTGCTGTCAGAGATGAATTGCTTAATTTGCATTGGCCTCTACAGAAATTTCAGCGCATAGATAATACCTGAAGGAGAGAATGTGCCTTATCACTGCAGAGTATGATAGGCTGAACTCCAGAATATGAAGTAGCTCTGGCCCAATTGTTTGTCTCATCAGATAGTTAGGAATGCCAAGAACATCCATGAAAAAGGTTCTTAACATTTCCTCACATGATTTCTTCCCCCTCTTCTTTATTGCATAGGAAAATGCTATCTCGGGAAAGGAATCCCCCTCTAAAATTGATTATTGAAGCAGGGCTCATCCCCAGACTGGTGGAGTTCCTGAAGTCCTCACTTCACCCTTGTTTGCAGTTCGAGGCAGCCTGGGCTCTGACCAACATTGCTTCAGGAACTTCAGAGCAGACTCGAGCTGTTGTGGAAGGGGGTGCCATCCAGCCCTTGATCAAGCTCCTATCTTCCCCCAATGTGACTGTGTGTGAACAGGCAGTGTGGGCTCTTGGTAATATAGCCGGTGAGACTCTCCTCTGTAGTGGGTTAAGAAAACAATGGGCTAGGCAGGTGGCATATTGTGGGAGTCTTTTGGGTAGTATGGTGCACACGATATCCTGGGACTTCTCCCAAGTATAAATACCTAGAAGTGTTGGGAAAGGTACAATGAACTATTTCAAAAGCATTACAGCTGAAACCAGATGATGTGGCACATACTGAAGCAATAGGCTTCCTAGGGACCTCTGCCTTTACCGGGGACCCTACAAGTCTCACATTTTAATGGCTTCAGAAACAAAAGGCAAGTCTTTGGTCCATGACAAACTCTGGTATATCCCAGGATCCTAAAAAGAAATTGCTAAGGGAGCATACAAAATAAAACAAAAATGAGTCTCTTTAGTTTGGATAAAATGGTCTTCCCTGAAAATGTAATCCCAAGCCTCTCCCCTTGGATTTGGGGCTGATGCTACTTTCCCTGCGTAGTCTGGGAAAGCACAACTGGAGGAGTTAGTGCCACAGACTTGGACACTTCTGGGGTTCTTGCCTGAATTAAATCTAGATGTTTTCTGGGGCAAAGTATTTGCTTGGACCCTCTAGGATTTTGACAAATTATAATCAGCCAAATATAGGCACTATCAAGTTCAGAGAAGCAACAACCCACCACGACTATGTCAGCAGAAACAAACAGTATGATTAGACCTCCAAAGACTTCAGATACTGAAATTGGCAAACAAAATATAAAATAACTGCTGTAAAATGCTATTACAGAGACATTGTCTCTTATTTGGCTTGGTTCAGTAAGGAAGAGGCAAGACTAGATAGTATAATACAAAATATGCCTTCCCTAATGGTTGAGGAATATAAACAGACTGCCAGAGTCTAAAATTGGTATTCTTGCCAGAATCACCAGCACCTATGATTCTCAGGCTCTGTTGTGAGTTACATCTGGCTATCAGTGCCCTATGCCAAAGTCTTCTGGGAAGACAACTTTGTGCTAGCTTTCTTCTTTCTGAGAACCTTGCTGTGAAATGCTGCCAGCCTTCAGAGTGCACTGAATGGGCTGAGTTGGCTGGCTCTTTTATATGTCCATAGCCTCTGCTTATTGCAATTGCTGCTGTGTGGTGTCTGCTTATCACATCAGGGCTATCAACTAACAGACGCTTAGAGATGTGTGAGCTCCTACACAGCTATACTATATAATATAATGTAACATGATATGTAGATTTAGGATATGCATTATATTCTATTTGCCAATCCCAATATCTGAAGTCCTTAGAAGTCTAATTATTTGCCAAATCTAGGACTGAGTTGTAGTCTCTCAACCTTTGCATAGACTTCCAAAAAACTTAGTCACTCACTTCAGGATTCTTTTTGCTCTCACTTTGAATGTCACATTCTGATCTATTTGTAGGTGATGGCCCAGAGTTCAGAGACATCATTATCTCAAGCAATGCCATCCCACATCTGCTGGCCCTGGTTTCATCAACCTTACCAGTAAGCATTTTTAAATAATAAAACAATTAGCTATATAGAAAATTCCCAAGGCTGGAAAATTGGGGGAACGGCTTCTAAATTAATGCTTGATCACGCAGCTGCTGCCTGACTTCTTATGACAATACTTAAAAATAAAGTCTAGGACTGAGGATCATATTAGATAAATATTGACCCACATTTGCTGTTAGTGGCCAGCAGTGCTGATCTTTCTTTGGGGAACATTTGGAAGTGATTTCTTAAAGTTATTTCTTTTTTCATTCTATTTTCTTTTTTTCTTTTGAGGAGGGGAGTGGTAATTTTCCAGAGGGCATGTGTGCTCACCAGAGAGACAAGGAAAGTGAGAAAGCACCCTCCATGGGAGATGGTCACGCCACAATCCCTTCTCCTCCATCTCTCCCTCCTTTCAGGACTTTACTTGCACATATGCCTGGCATGGTTTTTGTTTTGTTTTGTTTTTTAAAATAATTATTTAATTGTGGGAACCAGCAGTTAGCGTAATGGCTATGTCGCTGGACTCCCACGTAGTCGACCACGGCACGG